CGTCCCCCCTGACGTGACCCCAGTCCGGACGAACACGGGGAGGACACGGGGAGGGATCCGGTCCAGCCGAACACACATCAGAGTTTGGCGACCGTCCTCGGAGGTGTCAACTTGAGAGAGGAAGGGGGGGTGAGCGAAAGGTAGCAGGCAATCACAGAAGTCCATGACGGCGTGAACCGGCGCAGGGGGGATTTGATCCAGGGAGGGGGGGGAGCCCCCCCCGACGAACAGAATCAACTCTTACAGGACCAAATTCAATGCACAATCCCAACTCCTGATTGTAATACATGTTTGCTAAAGCAAGGAGAACTCAGGTAGCTCAAGCTACCTTTCGTGAAGAGGAGACGGTCCGAAACCCAAGTCTTGCAGCTTTCCACCAAGAAGATCAGTCCAATTCACTGTTGAAACGCGACAGCTGGTAGAGACATTTGCGTGAGAACATACTCATTTGAGAACATACTGGACTACCCAAGCATACTAATCAATTGTATATCTTGTGGTTCTTAAACGGGCGAGGCCACAAACTCACCAAGAAAAAAAGTCAAGCTTTCGGGGTGGCCGACCAACTTCCACCACGTCCTGGAGACATTGTGACACATATAGACGTCCTCACAAGTAAAAATGAAAAGCACACACACAGACACGTGACGCTGTCACAGGGTGCTCCTCTTACTCCAACGCGTTTTCCAAGTGAACCCCCCCACGAGAACATACACCTCGAGTCCACTCGAGTTCACGTTTTCGTGTGCGCACCACTTCGAAGCCCCCCCAAATTTCACCGTTCCTCTCCTAGTTGTCACCCCCTTCTTAGGAAACAAAGCTAAACTGGTCCAGAATGCGCTAGAGGTCACACTCCGGTCTGGCCATTTGGATCCGAGCGGACTGGTCTGACCCCGACCCACCTCTACCCTCTTGGGTCCTCCAATCCTTCGAGCTCGAGCAGATCGAGCGGATCGATCGCGTCCCGGGAGAAAAAGAAAGAAAGAAACACCTGTCGGAGCTGGTCAAGCGCAAGCTGCACTTGCTCCCGAGCAGGTCCCTTCAAGGAGGAGTCCTGCAGGTGGTGGGCGGTGCTGAGCTGGGTGTTCTTCTTGCGGTCATGCGTGGACGCATGACGAAGCTGGTGGGGGATTTGGATCGAAGGATGAAGCCGTCTAGGTGGGCCCAAATCCTCCAGGTCACGAAATCGACCCTAACCGCCCCCAAGCGCACCCTTCTGGCTTCTCGGCCTCTCTCAAAGGCCGAACCACAGATGGACCCCAATGTCAGCCCAGACCCAAGTGAGACCCTCCCAAAGAGTAGTCTAGTAGAAGTGCATCCATTGGTCACAAGCTCCAACCACGTGTTCAAAGGTCCAAAAAGGCCTTTCCTGGTGCCCCTTCCTCTCTGCATCGACCAGGTACTCCATCGATCACTCCATGTCCACCCCTCCCTCCCGGACCCAATTGAGCTCAGTTGACACTCTTAAGTTGAACCTTTTTGGTAGGTCATTCCGTTCAATTCTTCTATGGTCAACGCCCCACACACTAGATTCACAAGATGCCTGGGTTCGGGAAACAAATCGCCTCAACGCCAACGCCCCGGTGCCACACGCTCGCCGGTCGCTCCTCCAGGGCCTCCTGCGCCAGGAAGTAAACCCTTAAGCTTCGGGCGTCCACGCCCAGCTGCTGGGCTCGGCCTCGGGCGCTCGGTGGGGTCGGTCTCGGGGGTCGTAGCGGCGAAAGAAACGCCCTTGGAAGTTGGGAAGTCGGATTTCCGCATAGGGTGGACTTAGATGTCGGTTTCATGTTCATTTGCTTGGGATAGGCCTCACCACTTGTAAAGAGCTGGGGTGCCCACATGAGAAATTCTCTTGGAAGGTCGTCTTTCGAAAGGTTGCCTGTAGTTGTGCTGTTTCTAGAGCATTCCTCCCCCCGTCTCCTGGAACTTTAGTTTGGATATCATGTTTCCCGGAAGGCTAGATTGGATGTCAATTCCTGGAACCAGGGACCTCCAGACCAGCAAACAAGTATGGATGCCCTGTTGGAGCAGAGGGGATGGAGAGGTTGCCCATCACTCAGAGAATCGCCGGCCATGGGCCGCTGGTGAGATTGATTGGGACCCCTTTGTCACAACCGGCCGTGGGCCGCCTGGAATCACACCTCCTGGCCTGGCCTTCCATTGACCCCTCCACCCTGTGGCCTACCACCCTTTCGGCCGAAGCCCACAGCCCACCGGTCGGTGGCACCGGGCACCTTCCATCAAGATCCGGTCGGCAGCCTCCACCTCGCTCCGGACCTGCTCCTGAAGAAAAAGCACTGCTTTTGACCACGCTTTCACCTCGGTTGGAGGCCATCGCGTAGCGAACGTCACAGGAAGCTACTAGGAACAACAACAAACACGGTCAGGGCCAACCATAGATGGAGAGATACGAGCACAATGCCAAGCAGCTAAAAAGATAACGAAATGGCATCCAATTGGGGGATCAACCATTTCATGTCTATCCTCAGAATTTGGTAACCAGAAAAATCTACTGTACTTCAGGCGCAAGCGAAATCTTCAGTGGGATTAGCATTAACAGCTGCTCCTGTGTCTTCCGCCATGGCCGCACACGTGCAGAGCAGCGGGGGCGTGGCACAGCTTCCTTGACGGCGGCGAGTTTTGCCAAGCGGGGCGCAGTCACCTCACGCAAAAGAACGACGTGGCTGATGAGATTTTTTGCAGGAACTGCCAGCAAGATCCCGAAGACAAATGTTTGCTTTGTTGGAAAACGACTGTGCCTCAATATGTCGTTGATGAACCCCCTCTTTTTGAGCAGGTCGCGCATCAAGATCTAACATTGCAAAGTTCGTTTCTATTTCGGACATGTCATGCAAATGGTCCCCCGCGTGATTTCTGTCGATCCATCTCATGATTTCTCCACTTCGGTGGTTCTTGAAAGATCCGCATGGAACGCACCGCACCGCACTGCAGGGTACTGACAGCTGAGTTGCTTTGGGCCAAAACTGCCGTGAAGGCACAACTGAAGGGATTCTACTCTCAAAAAAAGCAACTCTCTTGTTCAACATACCCGGAACCTGCTTTTTTTCAGCACAAAAACCTCAACACCCAAGGTCCCATATACCCCAAAATAGATAGAAAAATAAATCCCTTTCATCGGAAACCGTGCCACCATCTACAGTATATCAATTCTACACACCAGTGGTGAAATCCATCCAACTCCACACTGAATGTGGTGCTTTTTCACCCGGGCATCTCGACTCTCATGCCTCACCCATCTGACATAAAACGTGCTCGCCAACCGCCCCGCTGCCGCCCTCGCGAACGTGCGGCTGGCGTTCTGGTTCTGGCCCCCCCCGCCCCCTCGCGGAAGGCGCGGAACGTGGCGGAACGCGCAGGGCGGGTACAACCCCAGATCCTGCGGTCTGAGCAGCACAGCGATCAGACATGGAGGTCCTCGGCATTGCGGCCGAGGACCGCGCTAAACACGGACGCCAACCGGTCCAGACGGCTGAGACGGAGCAAGGTGATGGGATGAGTCACCGTGGCAAAAGGCCCCCTTTCCCCAGAAGCAGGTGCTATCTCGACCGGGGGAAGGCCATATGGCGGTGACTGGTACTTGAAAAGAAGGCTGAAACAGGGGCTCTGATGCAACCTATATCCATGTTGCAAAGGTGTTCATGGCCTTCCAAAGACACAAAGTCCACCGCAGTGTGAGCCTCTGAATCTCTTCCATTCCTTTGACTCGACCCACTATTCCCAGCACGCCAGCCTCCAAGTCCAGTGTTTGCGGTTTCCACTCTCTCACTCAGCACTCAAAACACCGCACCATCGACCTGAAACATCCAGCCAAAGCTTCCTCGGGCCGGGCGCCTCAGTCTTCCTCTCCGATGCTTCCGGCGCCGCGGCTGCTTTCGGCGCCGTCGAGGCCCGCGGCGCGCTCAGCTGCAGCTGCGCCGCGGAGCGCAGCTCCGGCGCAGAGCTGCGGCGTGAAGAGCAGGCGGCGGACATGGCGGCGGTTTTCGCGACCGCCGGTGCATGGGCGGAACCAGGGGTGGACAGGGAGGACCGGGGACCGGGAGGAGTTCTACCGTTCTGTTTTTGGACATCTCTGGGGATCCCCAAAGCCTGTGGATTCCCAGTCTCGCCAGAGCGAGAGAGGTTTTTCAATTGTCGCTGGCTCCAGTGAACCGGGTCATCAAGAAGGACGGACGGTCATGCGGGAGAATGGCGTGCTGAACATGAGGACGGTCATTTGCAGTCATTGTACCTCTTGCAACTTGTTGTGGAGATATGTCAAGTCTTGCCAAGATACAGTATATATTGTTGTTGATTAGTAGAAGCCTTAGCATCTCTCTTCTTAGAAAAGCCCCGCACGCTGTCTGCATGTCTGCACTGACCCCGAACGCTAAACTCCTCAGCCAAACGGCTCCAGCGGCCCCTGACCTCCGTTCGAAGCACAACATCACGGGTACAGCGACATGGAAACATTCCCCGGTCTTAGCTCCCAAGAGTTGGTACATATTGCATTCACGAAAGCAAAGACCGGGTATCTTCATAAGAAGAACACGTAACTACACGTTGGAAAGAGTCCTCCTTGGTCCTCCCAATATCGGTGGAAGCGTGGCCATGCAAGGACCAAGGATCTCATTGACCGACGTGATTTTGGAGGTTCTATCGACCGACATTGGGAAGCGAGGAGCACCCGAAACACGCCGAGAAGCGAATCGTCCGGGTTTCGAGTTCGGGATTTTGCCACGGATTTGGAGTTCTTTGAAATCCCCAAACAGGCAGCCCCGGTAGTTCAGGCAAACATATATGAAAACAAGGTCCTCTAAAGCCAACGCTACATCAAACGGCCCCAAAAGCGAATCAGATCGTTACATCCAGCAACAGTCCGATCGACGAAGGCTCAAGTCACCTCGCCCTTCTCCTGAGGAAACCAAGGGACGCCTTCTCCCCACCGTTCCGCTTCTCGGTTCAGGACCGTCTGAACTCTTCCCTCCCCACCGGCCCCGCGCCTGCCGACGTCCCAGAGGAGGGTGGCGCATACCAGCCATCGCCCGGCCGCGGCAGCACCACAGTGCAGCGGTCCATGTCCCTCCCACGCAAGGATCGAGGAACGAAACGAGGAAGGACTGCGGATCCGAGGGGGTCGAAACGGCGGCGACGAAACGGCTGGGGTGGGGGTGGTGAGATCGTACCACCTTGGAGGTTGTGCTTGTGGTGGACCAAAGAACAGGTTGATTCTGTTCAATCCGCTACTTCTAGCACGTCTGTCACAGCAACCACAACTGCTACTAAGGCCTATGAGACATACAGAGTTTGGTCTGTGCTTTTGCTGACTGTTATCCGAGCTGAGGTCTTGACCTTTCTTGCTTTCGTGGCCGCACAACATTTGAGTCTGTGTGTTGATCCCATCATGACACCCTGGTCATGTCCCGCAGCATGTCACTATCCATGCAAAACGCATGCCCTAAATGAAGCAAATATCAATGTCACTATATATGTCAATATCGTATATGATATATTCAGACGATATTGACAAAAATTGACAAAAGATATTTCACTATCTTGGTGTTCGATTGTTTTGGATTGGATGAAGATTTGATCCTTCTGTCACCTTGCGGCTTGCGAGCTGTGCATGTATCCCCTTTGGCGCATGGATACTCCCATGCGGGATCCATGAAAGTGTGCAATTTCATGGGATCCAGAAATTCCCTGCTCTGCTAGGGAGCTGATACTTCTTAAGACCCCCATGTTTACTTGGAGCAGTCTTTACCTAAGTCTAGAGATCAATTTGCAACCATGTGTATAAAGCCTTAGTGAGAAAAGAACGCCCAAGAAGATCGGGTGACCCATCAACTGTAGAAAAAATAGAACAACAATTGAAGCCAGCCAACCCTCTGAAGAGGGTCCTTTAGGTACCGAACCTGTGACTCTTTGTGAACCCCTTCCGGTGCCGAACCGCTTCTTCGCCTCGAGAGCTCGCTGGAGGGCAGGAGCTCCAGCCAGCGGCGCATGGAGCCCAGCGGAAAGCCAGGCACCGAGTGGCCATGGTTCAAGACCACCTCCCCAAGAGGGCACGAGGCGAGGAAAACGAAACCCGCGAAAGCAGCGGAGTCCGAATGGGTCCGGGTCCAGACGTGTTCTGTCGACTTCCAGGGACAAAGCAATGAGAACAGACCTGGCTAGGTTGACATTTGAACCTAGGAAGCCTCACAGCAAGGTACTCCACTCCCAACTCCCAAGCATTAGCGTTTCTTCCAACCGTTGGTGGCCTGTCGCAGCAGCAAACGGCCCGACTTGCGCATCCGCTCAGTCCATCGGCTTAGTCCATCGGCTCAAGCGTCAGCGCTACAGTACACAGCCAAACCTCAAATCATCGCATGTTATTTAAACAATAGCAAAGCATCTTAGGTTTGGTTTCCTTTCATAGCATGCTTTCCTCAGCCGAGCCTAAGAAAATTGAAAAAACACAAAACAATGCAAATGACAAGGCAAAGAAAGGACGCAAACAGGTCACACGATCAGAATTGAGAACATGCTCTGGTCTTTGCTTTTGTCTGCTTTGCCGTTGTTGTTTCACTGGTCTTTGGGGGGCCTGTCTTGAATGAAATCACTGAAATATTGATCCACTGTTACTATGTTCCTCTTGTTCAAGTGCCAATATAGATGGAAAACCTTTGGATTTAGAGCTTTGAGATCCATCTCCTTCCTACCAATCCCAAACCTTGAAAGCCAACTCTTTTCGCAGCCACCGCGAGCTACGCCCGCCGCGGCACACGCGAGCTCTTCGGTTCAAAGGCGACGTGGTGCATCGATCTAGCCCTTTTTGGATGGTGGATGAGGTCATGTTCTTTGGCGATGAGAGACAAAACTCGACCAATGCCATGAAAAATGCCCTGGAAGGGCATGTTTCAGGCAAGAATTCAGAATCCCGAAGTCGTACCATGCTTGATGCCATGGGCTTTTTAAGGAGGACTTTTAAGACATTGATGCTTGCAACGGGGAGTGGATGGATGTTCAGTGCGTGGCCCGTCCCGGGGCAGACCCAGGGATCCGTCCCGGGTCTTTTTTCGAACGGGACACGCGGTGGAACGGTGGGGGGGGGGTCGTGTCGTGCGCTCCAACCGTCGCGAGGACTCTTCGGTCCGTTAGGACCTTCCTCAGCACCATGGGATCCCGAGAAGGTTCTCAGATCGGTGGAAACGTCGTCCTATGCGATCCCAAAGAACCAGACTCTACCTGGATCCCCAATACTTGGGGGTGGTGAATGGACGAATCCACCTCTTTTCGGGACTAGACAACATGGACACCCGGAATGTGAGGTGCTGGTAGCACGGCTCCAAACACGGATTGTTAGGAGAACTGGATTTGGAGCGAAGACAAAATTGTGTCGCCTTCTCTTTTTTCCGATCTCCTTTCGATTTCACCCCCATGCAGGTCCAAGACGAGCCATACCCATCCATACTCATCCATCCGCGCCCCATCTCTCAGTAAACCACAGAGGATCTCATGATGTGAGTCCGGCGCCTATGCCTATCTTGCAGTCCATCCGAACACCGCAAGAACACCTCAAGCCAGCTCCACAACCACACTGAGTCCTTGAAAACATGTCAAAGAAGAGCTTCGGGATCCCATCATCCCTCAGCATATTCCAGCCTCAGGATCGCCACCAAATCCCGTCCATGTGACTCAACACTGCATCACAAAGCATTTGACCGGTCGACCAACTGCCTCAACGGGTTATAGGGTAAGACACTGAGCTTTCTACGGACTGAATGCTTTTCTGCGCCACTGGCCATACAAGTGGGGAAGTTAGGAAAAGAATCCCCCAAGTAAAAAGGCAAAAAAGACAAAAGGGCGATGCCCAGCTCTTCCGCCACTCACAAGAAGTAATTAGACGGAATACGTTCTTCAATACAAGAAACTCTCAATGACTGTTCATCTGGCTGCTACGCCTGCTACGCTGGATCTTCTTGTTTGATCTTATCGGTGCACCCTCCTGCTTCTTAGCACATGGACTAGGAAGAGCACTGATACATACTGATACATTGAAGTAGGAATCCAAACTGCGTTCGTTTCGCCTTCAGTTGGGAACAACTTGCACAAACCCGAGGGGTTGGTGATTCGCTGTTGTGAGTCCAGAGTCCCCACAAAACCACAGAGTATATTATATCTTGAATTATGTATATATATATATATATTTAGTTAATGATGTGAAAGGATGTGTATAGCATGATTAGGTATGTCACTTTCTCCATCACATGGATGGTGCGACATGGACATGTGTTCGGAAGAAGTCCTCAAACATCGAGACAAAGAAGTCGAAGAGCGCGTACTAATGCTCAAAGCATACCATGCTGTCGATGTCAAATCAATCGATCAATCTATCAATGAAGCTATCTATCTATCTATCTATCTATCTGGGTGTGCGTCAAAACTCCGGGTCTCAGGTGAACATCGCGCACCTTCCTGTTCTATAGGGTATGGAACAGATCCCTTGTTCCATAAGGTATGGAACAGGTATGGGACGGGCGTATGGAACACATTGTACCAAAAAACCTGACGTGTCATCTCAGTCCCGTTTCTCACCGTAAATGTATTTCAGCAAGCAAAGCGCACATTTTGATTGAACCTCGAACAATTGTAGACTAGGAATCGATAGGTATGGAACGATGGGTATGGAACGGCGAACAGACATGCTGTTCCACAGGTATGGAACGGGGTATGGAACGAGATGTTCAAGAGTACATGTTCCATACCAAAACGTTTTGACTCATGGCCATCTATCTATCTATCTATCTATCTATCTATTTTTCTATCTATCTATTTTTCTTATCTATTGCAACGACTGAGTAGGTAACCCGCCAGCAGCGGCCGATCTGAGCTGCTCACTGTGAGGGACCATGACCTGCAACGGAGGAGGAGCTTTGGTCCGTGGGCAGCGACGGCTTTTGGACCGAAGAATCTGGTCCTCCCTTGGTACAAGGATTATTTGTCCATTCTGACCAATAAAAATGTTCACCATTGACTTGCAGCTATGCAACACCGAGTTTTGTCCTATTCTCTCTCGCAAATAAATGAAGATGTCCCTAGATGAGAACTCCCAAGCTGTCCTTCCGGTGAGAAGAACGGACGTTTCTTTACTCCTTCCACATCTCGACACTTTTACCACAATTGGTACGCTTTCACCCACCTTCTTGTACATGTTGGACCATTGACCTAGTGCTTGTGAGGCCCTCACAGGAAGGAGAACACCAAAGCAGGATGCCCTCAGGGCCGCGACGCCCGTGCCGCCCGTGCCGCCCGGAACTGCGCCCGGGAGCCCGGGCGGTGCCCTGCTCGTCGGAGGTATCATCAGGGATGGTCCCCATGAAGTCGAAGGAGAGGCAGTTGCAAGAAAGGCTCAAAACCTGCATGTCTGGCGAAGCGGAGGCTCCGCAGCATCCGTTTCGAAGTCCGTCCGAGGTGTTTGGTCCGTCTCGCGCATGCCAGTGGCGTTTTGTGGCGTTTTGGGGTTGCAGAGAACGGGCTCGTCTCAGATGACCTGATCAGGCGAAGTATGGACGGTCATTGCTGTGACCAAGCCCACCTACGAACCCGTGCTTAGCAGTTCATTTCATCCTACGAACACAGTGCTGGCAAGGAAAGCGCAGCCAAGCAGCTCTGGCACCATGTATCCACACCATCCCCTTCAAATCAAATTCACAGGACTTCTACAAAACAGGTGCATGTCGTGCCCCGTTTTGGGCGCAGAGCGCATCACACCCCCTTCACCGTGTCTGCCAGACATGTTCCTGGTTCGGGCCTGCTTGGACAAGCGACGCTCGTCGTTCTTGTCCGGCACGTTGATGGCCCCGCTACTGAGCTGTTGTAGCCTGAATCCGCTGGGACGGTGGGAGGCCCTGTGGGCCCTGGAAGTCGAACCAAGACCGAAAAGAAGAGGACGGGTGCGATCCTCGAAGAGTTCGGATGAATCCATGTGGAAGAATCGGTCCTGGATGGCCTGCAAAAGGGGTCTTATCACATCTCGGGGGCTCCAACACCTTTCAGCGACTTGAGCCACAACCTGCCAACAGGTTCTGTCTCCATGCTGTCTCTTTTGGGGCCACCGGCTTCGTCCGGCTTCGGCAGACCATTGGACCATTTTTGGGGTCTTTGGACTGGAATCCTGACAGGTTTCTTCTTGGGGGGGCGCGGAAAACCACCCCAGAACCTTCCCAGTGACCCAGTGACCTTTTTGGAGTCCCTAAATTAAGTGACCTCAAACCAGGGGATCAAAAGGTCACTGGGAAGATCCAGGCCAGGATTCACTGATTGACGATCAATTCCCAATTTTCAGCATTGGGAGCATCTACATGTACCTTGTGCTTTGGTCGGACAGTCTGAGAGGTGGAGAAGCATCGGCACAAACTGGCCTTCCGGTCCAGGCCTTCCGATGTTTCTTTCAAAGTAGATTGAAGGTGCCTAAACATCCACCAAAAAGCCACTTCTGCCAACCCGCGAACAATTCCTCCGCTCCCTGGGGCGCCCCCGACGTCTGAATGGCGATCGTAAAGATCGGCGGCAGCGCCGTGTCCCGGAAGCTCAACGCCGTCCGGCGGTGCCTCAGGCCCCGGCCAGAGGACGAGTGTTTCAACGGGCACCGGGTCTTTTTCATGCCGGAGTCAAAGACGTCTTTAAAGAGGGGACCTGAACGGGATTTCCTAAACTTCACTAAGGAAATATATGGTGTTTGGGCTCCAGGTGCGCCTCCGTAACGAGGATCATGCCTACCTTGGCATCGCTTCTATCCTCTTCCCGCGAATGCCCACAGGGAGGGGCGCGAATGCGGGGCTAATGCCCGTCTGTGGACGGAAGATGGGCGTTCTAGCCTCAGGAAGCTGCAGGTAGGGAGCTTCTAGGGTATACACAAGCCCGGGTATGATTGCATATAGTGTATTGCAGTATATTTTTGTGGTGGTTCATGTGTTTGGCCATTTCACGTTTGGTTCATGTGGGTGGGTTGGTGGAGCCCACAAAGGTCGGACACATCCATTTCACCACACTCGCGCCACCTCTCGCGCCAGCTCTCGAGACGGTGGTTTGCGTGCCATCTCACGCCTGCTCATCGACGGCCCAATCGACGGCTGCATATCCTGACCGTATTCGGTCCCAAGTCCGGTCCCCGTGAAGAGAGTAGCAGGCTCCGAGAGTTCACGATGTGACCATCTCGGCGGATTTTTGGGGGAGTCCCATGTTTTCAGCTTGCTAAGGTAGATCTATAGACTCTAAAGAAAATGGAAATGAAAGAGGTTTCTGACTTTCGAGGGTGATGAATCAAGAGTCTACATGTTCTGGTGCAAAACCCCTGCCCTGCGCGGCAACCTCACCCGCCCTGCCACCCGCGCGCCGCCGTGAGATCGGTGTAGATCTCCAAACCCAGCACCCAGTGCCTTGGGAGGCGGCTGGTCGAAACCCCCCAGCCCAGATGAACTGTCGTCCCAAGAAGAAGAAGAAGAAGAAGAAGGGCTTGAACATCAATTGGACTCCACAAACTCATGTGGAAGAGCTTCCCAACCAAGTTCCGGATGCAACAAGGGGGAGTCAACACATCGTGTGAACGAAATTCGCTGTATAGCTCCATAAGTGATGGCCAGAAAGTGCATACCTTGGAACACGAGTTCTTCTAGAAAATCAACAATTAAGTTAACCCTTAGCACCCAGATCGTCTCCCAAAGGTGGTGAGACAGAGACGGTTTCCATCGCTTCCCACGTTCCCGAAGGTGTTTTTGTCCACGCTAGCGAGTCGGCAGGTTGGCAAGAGTGACACCGATCCGCCAAAATGGAACAATGTCTAGCCCAATGGATCGAAATGGATCGAATCTTGGATCTACACCTGAAAAATAAGACATTCATCAACCTGGGACAGGAACTTCTTCCATCTGCTCGTCAAGAGCAGAAAGCTCATGCAGATTCTATTTGGGCCGCGCTTGGCGAGGACTTCTCTCTTTGGAAGCAGTCCGGCGATCAAAGGCCAGCCCCCAAATTGCCGAGAAAACTGGGGGACACAGCCGTTCAAATGACTTTGATCATACAGGAGACCTTTCACCTCTCATCTGTGGTCTTGATGACGTCCCTTCTTCTCCGACACACACCACTGCTTCTCTGCTTTCTTGCTTGGCCTTTTTCTTTCGGCATTGAAGCCAGCTTCGCATGCTTTCAAAAACACAGAGGCGGCGGATTCTTCATATGGGAATTGGTTGAAAAGGACGAAAAAGTCATATCCACCAGATTTGTGGTGGCTCCCTTTCGGCGCCTCACAGGCCTTTCTTTCACTCCATGCTTGCTGCTGAGCAGGGCTCTCGTAGACCGACCCCTGTGCAGTCCACTGTTCGAGACCCGTGTTGCAGAACCTTGGCCGGAGGGTCCTTTGCTGCTGATGGATAGTCAAGGACGGAAGGAAGGAAGGAAGGAAGGAAGGACGGAAAAGCCTTTCAATTTGAGTTGCTTTGTTCGGACAATTGCACTGCCAGCTTAGCCATGAGTTTTGTAGACTCGCTCTTGGTGAACTTCGGGTTTCTAGCTAGTGCCCGTTGCACATACGCGAGTAGCCCTGGCAACGGAACATGAACATGTTTGGTATGCTGCAGGCTACCTGGGGGCCCTCTTTGCATTCCTTGCACCATGTCAGATTCCACACCAGAACCCCCCTTGCCACATCTCAGAATGCCCAATCGCCTGTTGTTTGCACCCATGCTTGCCAGTATTTATATGTTGCTTCCCAACCACCAAATGCCTTCTCCAAAGGTCCCATTCGTCTGACACGATTCCATGCATCTGACGCATGAAAATCCGACCCGACTTGCCACCCCAGACATGCATATTCTTGCGTCTTGAGAGTGCAGACATGTTTTTTTTTCATCGCGTGGGTTTCACAGCATGTTCATGCAGCATGTTCTCGTCTTTTTGAGTCCAAAATGGGTCAATGATCACCAAACTTGCCATGTCTGAGGCACAAAAATCAACCAAATCTAATTGAGCTGTTAGATCATTCATGGAGAAGGAGCTGGAAGGAGCATGTTACGCTTCTTCGTCACATGTTGGATGGCATTGTTCCCCCAGCTGTGCTTCATGTGACCGAGACCGTTCGTCATCTCAGTCATCGGCCCGATGCAAAAGCTGCATCCACAAGAACAGATGCTGCCCAATTCATGCGGCTGGCTCATGCAGCTGCGATTTTTCACAAACTCGTGAAAATGGCCGTCTTCGACCCGCATGTATGCTTTGCCCGTTGAGCTTGCTGGGGCAGTGCTTCTCTTCACTGAGTAGCAGGTGTCGGTCGCGTTGGATTGAAATCCTATGCCTATGCATGTTTCGACGGGCATTTGGAGGAAAGTGCAGGACTCAGGAGGTCTCTTCAATTGTCAGCATATACTGATCGAAAAACAAAACATCGACCCTGTTGGAAAGGGATGGAAAGTTCTGCTCGAGAGTTCTGCTCGATGCCGGGAAAGTGTCTTGAGTTCTGCTCTAGAGTCGCTGGAAAACGAAGGCGCACCGATCGAATTAGCCCAAGCGAGGGGAAAATTGGCTTTGATCTCAAACCCGCGCAGAGATGTCTTACGTACCTCCGCGCACGTGCCGCCCTCGCGAGGCTGCCGCCCGCATGCCGTCTATGCTGCCTCAAATCTTGTAGAAGCGATTGAAGTCGAAGTCGCACGGAGGATTCGGCAGTTCGGCCTCCGACTGGCACCATCCAGATTCGGACGCACTCAGGGGTGGGCTTTTCATCGTCGGGCCGATGAAAAGCCCACCTGCGACGGGTCACAGGGATCGCTATTTGCGGATGGGGCGTTTGCAAGTCCAACCACACCCCAGCGCCAGCGCGGGTCACTCCTGAAGAGAGAGAATGATGTTCCGAGTGCCTGTGTTTCAGGGATATGTTACGATATGTCCACAAAAGCCATGCCGAATGCCGAGGATTTTCCATGAGTTCCCAGTGGCTTTCAAGTTCTTCCAGTTGCGTAACTCCGAGACCTTCTTTGCTGGGCGATCCGTGTCTTTGATGTCCGGGCCACATGTCAAAAAGATCACCTCTGAATCCTCATGCATGATCGGTCTCAACTTGCTTTATAAGCTTGCATGATTAGTCTCAAAATGAGGCTATGGGGCTTACAACATTCGCTCTCCATCTCCTCTTGTAGAAATTACCCCCAAAAAAGCCACCCATCCCGAACCATCGCATCCCCCCCAATTAAACCAACCTTCCCAAAGAATCCCCAAGACCTATCCAAGTCCTCCTTCATCCACCCGCCCCCCGGCCGCACAACAACGCGCCCAGTCCGCGCAAAGCTCCGCACGCAAACCGCACGTCCGAACATCTCCCGCGGTCCGAGGGGCTCCGAACTTCTCCTCGAACATCTTCCGCGCGGCCTGGACCTTCAGGTTATTCGCCGTGACGTTGTCACCTCGAGGCGTTTCGGAACGTTCGCAGGAGCCGAACTCGTCCGCAGGAGCTGAACTCTGCGCGGAGCAAAGCACGAAGGGGGAGCGGAGGTTCCGGGTGGTGCTTTTTGGCATGTGGATGATGTGTGTCCTGCAATATACTGTCGATAATGGCATGCATTATGTATCAGTTGAGTAGAGTACTCTTTTGGCCTCTCCTCGTCTCATGTGGCTGTGGGTCAAAGACTTAAGACATTCCATCGGCATGTTCCTTCAATTCCAGAGGATCCTACGCTTCAGACAGATCACCACGCACAAGTTGTTTGCGCATGGAAGGTGGGCCAGAAAAAGCGGCAGTAATAGCTGAAATCCAGGGGGTTCCGAGTAGATGGAGCAGGAAAAGAGATCTTTTCTACATTGGCTTCGCATGGCAGGTTTCAAGCCGTTGGTCGGGTCGCGAGCCCCCATGGCACGCTTCCCTCGCTGAGTCTGGAGGGTCGTTCTCCATGTCGCCGCCCGCTGAAATCGCTCAGTTTGTCCAAGGGTGACTCACTCTCGTGTTTTTGAGGCCGTGGCTGTTATTCCAAAACTGCTGCATGCTCTGGTGCGTTTCACCGTAGAGCTCCCCGAGCCAGATCTCTTCTCCTTGTGCTGCAGCAGCAGTTTTCTTTTTCACATCGGAAAATGCTGCAGTTCTGACTGGAGAATGGCTGGAGAACACGAGTCTTTGTTCATCCCAAAAACAAACCACGTGAAGACAAAAAAGATCAGACAAAACGGGTTGTCAGAATAACTTGGAAAAGAAGGAAGAAACACCCACCTCTGTGATTGAACAAGTCACCGCTGCAACCTCTCGGACTCCCAAAGAGACCGAAAACCATCAGTCCCCGAGAAGAGAGCTTTTCCCCTTTTCCATCCCCCTTCCCATCGTCCAAAAAGGGTGCCCCTCATTTGGAAGAGAGGGGCTCGTTCCCCCCCCCCGTGCACCCAAACGCGATGTCCAACCACCTCACCCTTCGACCTCGTTCGCAGAACCCCGAGATGGAACCCGAAGAACTGATGACCGTGGCCCTGAAGATCGACCCTCCCCCCCGCCTGAGTCGACGTAGCTCCAGGTACCTTGGGCCGACGCGCAGCCCGAACTCGCGGGAACCAGCGGTACGGTGCTTGGTGGAACAGCCTGATATGAAAATGGGTTCATCTGTAGATGTCTGAGTTCATCCTTGAACCTCCTCTTCATGGATGATGACAGACTCAGAATTTCCCGAGTCAAACCACAAGCAGAGTGGCTTGAAAAAAGACACGCCACGCCTTTTCCTCCTCGTGAGGTTTGTTCTTCCCTTGATCTTCTCCCTCCTCCCCAGTCGATCTGCAGTCCAGCCACAGTCGCCGGAACCTGTGGGTGTCCCATCACACTTCCCGCCCGGTTGCAGCCGCTCACCTCGCGGCTCCCGTCGGGTGCAGGCTCCATCCCGGAGAAAGCCCCAATCGGTCGAAGCGATCGGAAGAAGCGGCAAGACCTGTAAGACTCAGTAGATTTTGAGTAGACTCACTAGAACTCTATAGCCTGGGAGACTCAGGTTTACTCTATTCAACACTGGACAGCCGAACAGGCCAGGCTGTGCCGGCACCCAGGGACTCTTTTTTCTCGAATCTTTGGTGTGGTTCATGGGAATAGGGTCCACCCCGTCCCCCAAGAAGGGAGCCAACCCCTGGCGTTGGGAAGAGCTCGCCCATCCACCAAGTCAGGTGATAAAGGGACTCTTCGGTTAGGGCTGTTGGGGCGCGAGCAGTGAGCCGTGAAAGGAACAATCCCTGCCTAGCGTGGAGAGTCCGTCACAAGTCTTGGGGTTCAACTCACCCTCCAGCCTTATTTGTACATATCTGTGCTCGGATGGCCCAAAAACATTTCTCATCCTCCAGTCCCTGCCATCACCCATCACCTGGGCGTTACTGAACCCTCCCATCACCTGGGGCCATCTCGAAATCCAATCGCCCACACAGCTCAGATCGTCCACACAGCTCGGGCGAAAGATTCTGCAGCCCGGGGGCAGGCGCCGTTCTGCTGGTAGAAGGGCATGCTGGGGCAGGGGCCCGGAAGGCTGTACCTGGGTTGCGGGAACCCCGGTCGTCGGAAGGGGAGTGCGCACGGACCGGAGGAAGAAGACAGAAAAGCAAAAGGGAGGAAGTTGACCTTCACTGAAAGAATCCTGAAAGGAAGTTTCCTGGATCTTGTTTCGCAGGAAAGAAACTCTTATGCTGATATTACACAAAGACCTAGTCCAGCCTTAATTGATTGTCAATCAGCAAGCAACACACACACACACACACACCCTTGGGTTGAAGATAGTTTCATGCGAGGGCAGCTGGTTGTTCACTCCTGTAGGACCCAGCACAGATTCAATGTAACCCCAAGCGTGAGCAAGGAAGCGAAGATCGAAAGGAAGGAAGCTTTTCTTCGTAGCCACGGCGAAGCAGCGCAGCGAGACAGCCTGAAAACCAAGATGGCGGCTGTTTACGCGGAGATCAACCTCGAATCGGAATCCGCCAAAGTGAGGGAATCGTTTGTGGTCATTGTCAAAGCCAAGCACTCACGTTTTACATGTTGCCTTGAAGCGCCCAAAAGATCAGCTCAGCATGGCGTTGCGGTCTCGCGTTGCGGTCCCCTTGGAGTCGCATCCCTCTCACGGTGGAAAAATGTCTCAAGTGGCTTTGATAATTATAGTGGATTGAGAGTAGATGGCACAGACCCCAAGGGGTGGTTAATATGAACCCCCATGTAAAGGACATCTTGAGGTCTGTGCCATCTACTCTGAAACCACTGTAAATATCTTGGAGGCTCAAGAATTGCCAAACCCAAAGCAAATTCGGACGTGTTTGAGTGCTTTGATGCTTGGTGTTACCATGTGTCGCGTACGGCGGCTTAAAAGATTGCCAAGAGGCCAGATTCCACCTGTGTAGTTGGTCTCATACTTGGGGAAGGGAAAAGAACCTTGTCTGACGCTGACGATTTGAGGCAGAACTATCCTGACGGAATGTCTTGACATGCACTGGAGAGGGTCAACACAAACCGTTTGTTCTGCTCTTGATATTGGGGCGTAGGGTTGCACATATCAGCTATCAGTGAGGTCGTAGGCCTTTGGCTTATCACATGCGATGGATGATAAGAAGAAGGATTGGAGCTGGAGCTTTCCTGTGGAGTTGGAGCTTGCCGCAGATGGCCTGGTCTCTCTCTTCGTTGTTCTGGGCAAGTGCTTTGGATTGATAGGTGCTGATTGATGGAGAGGATTCTTGGCCAAGAAGAAGAATGGAGCGTTGGCACCCAGCAGTGCCTTGTAAGACAACCCCTCATCATCGAGCCCCCCATGGATGAGACCCTCACCTTTTAGGAGGGCGGTCACGAGGGTGCTCCGACCTACAGAGACGCGAGACACGAGACACGAGACAGGTCATCTCTCTTTGGCATCGAGGTGTGAGTGTGTGTAGTCCAATGCCAACCCACCTAGCCAGTAAAAAATCGCACCATCACCTGCTCGGTGCTCTAAGAGCATGAGCACCAAGTCGGCCGAGTCGCCCAAATTGTTGCAACCCACGTTATAGCCATAGTTCCTGGGGCGAGCAAGAAGGGGGCGGGACTTGAAAGAGAAGTGAGAAAAGCCTATGAAAAAAATCACAAGTCTCAGGGATGAAGAGACGTTGAAAAAAAGATACAAAGACTCTTCATCTCTTCATTCACTGAACTGTTTGATGTAATTAGGTCTTCTTCGGAATAAAAAATAACAAAGTGTGAGCAGAAAGAGCATCTTCAACCTTCAAAGATTGCTAACAGGTCAGATTCCTGTTGGCTTCTTTCAGGACACCCCCGCTTTGAAAGACATGGCACTCGAGCGATCCAAAAAAACATCCGTGGAGACCCAAAAACACTTGAGAACATGGCTACCTGGACCATCCAAGGGGTGCCCAATGGAAGCCTATAGGTAGTGTGGGTAGCCCTTGGGACACCCCTTGGATGGTCCTGGTATAATCCCATTTTTGGGCCGACCCCTATCAAAACCTTCACTTTGGAATTGGCTCCCCTGCATCGGAGAGCTCCCAATCAAAGCCCAGGGGGGCGCGAGCGTAGTACAAAACCACCCAAGCGAGGTTCTCCCAGTCATAGCGACAGGTGGGCCCGGTGCAGTTGCCATAGTCAAAGGCGACCCGGAGACCAAAGTTCATCTTGAGATCCTGGGATGGGAAAAGCACTCTGATGTGAACTGGTGTAACTGGAAATGGGAGGGGGGGAGGATGGAAATGAGAAGACAGAAGAGAGAGAGAGAGAGAAGTAGTATCAAAGACTCGGCATATGGATGTTCTAGATGCTTAATTTAGTAATAAGTGGTGGTATGGAAGAGAAGGTGCTTCACCAGTTCCTCGTCTATATCCTCAATCACACCATGCGCCAGGGTTAGCGTGAGTGGTGTTCAGAACGGCTTCCATCACTCAGCACGGTGCCAAGACTTTAGACAGGGGAGACACTTTCGATGACAAAAGTAATGTGGACTCTTGAATGATCAACCCCAGCCTATCACCATATACATGAATTCGCTTCTATAACGCGACTTTTCTCGCGTTGCAGCTACTCAGCCTGGTGCCGATCACGCGATCACGTCGACCCGGATCTCTCCGCACCCGGAGGGGGTGTCGTGCCGGAGCGGCTCTGCCTGGGAACGGGGGCTCCGGTGGCTCGGTGTGCCGTTGAGCCACCGGTGGGCTGGTACTGCCTGGGAGCCGAGATACGGTCTGACCGACACAGCCCTGTGGTCTGTGCCGGTACAGCCGGTGGGGGGAGCCATGGAAGCAGTTGAGACTCCCCGAAGCGATCACGCGAGTCGTGACGAACAAGGCTGCCTTGATCCATGACCACCCTCTGTCAGAAGGGCTTGGCAGGAAGAGAGAAAACTCGACCATCGATTCCACCCCAAAACTTCGGCGAAAGGCGAAAACACACCTGATCTTTCCATCAGCCATGACCTTTCCAGGATCGTCTCACTCCGGCGGTAGCCCGAGGGGCGATCAGCGTTTGAGTGGCCTTCGTCATCACCTCACAGGCGCGGTGGGAAGGATGCCGGGAAGTGCCCAGCAGGCGATAAGGCCTTTCCCAGGTGTCTTTGGCGTTTTTGGACTCAGCACCTGGGAAAACATGAGTCAAAGAAAAGACTCCATGTGCCTTGGACCAATCCATGAAAAAGCTGCGAAATACAGCTGGGATCAGATGGCCCTGGCTCACCAATCACCAATCAAGTGATTCACTCCCCTTGGGGGTTCAAAGAGTCCTTTTGAGGCCCCAGAACCTCAACACCCTTGAAGCGGCGTGTCCCCCAAGCTCTCCCTGCCTTGAAGCGCCGGATCCGCTCAATGCCGAACTTGTTCCCGGAGCCGTAAGCGCCAGAGACCACCTCGTTCTGGATGTACCACCTGGATCTTTTGTGATGCACATGCCACACGAGCAGAGGATCTAATAAGACTGGCAAGAGCAAACCCTGAAGCCAGAAAGAGTCCTTTCCTCGAAAGCTAGAGTCAATCAGGTTCTTAGGGATTTCCAGAGGTCGCTGGGATCAATGCTGGTCATACAGTCGGTGAATCTTCCAAAAAGCTCCCCCCTCTTTCGGACAAGTCTTTCCCCCAAAGTCACCCAAGTCACAAGTCTAGTCCCACATCTTTACCAGAGATGCCCGATGTCCAACTCTCTTTTGTGTCCAACCACTCACCTGAAAAAAGACGCCGAGTCCGTCACTCTCTTGGGCGCTGCCGTCTATCCCCCGTCCCCGTCGAAAAGGAAGACGGCAGCACGGATCCCACCGTCTTCCGGGGAAACCCCACCCCTTTCCTTCGACACGGTCACATGATCCCAGCGAGGTTGCCGGTGTTCACGTTCAATGGCGGGTAGTCGCTGTGCCCTTGGGCTCGGTACCTGTCCGGGCTGTCCGGGCTGCTCGGGCGCATGCGGGCTCGGTGCGGATCGGTGCGACCTGTCGCAAGCCCGAACGGCATCCTGGGAACCGGTCTCTGCCTCACACGTCCGCCCCAAAAAAAGAAAACACGTCCGCTCTAAGACTGTCCGAGAAGTGGGAGTGGAGTGGCCACTATAGCCCTGTAGTCATGGCTTCTCGGCTCGGGAGATCCGGAGTGGCTCCGAACGCGCGACCCCCGAACGACCCCTCAGTTGTTGGGTGTCGAAGCTTGCAGGGCGTGGATGTTTTTTATGTGTTCCTTTCCAAATAAGAAGGAGAAAATGATGATGATCATGATGATGATGATGATGATGATGATGATGAAGAAAATGATGATGATGATGATGATGATGATGATGATGATGATGATGATGATGATGATGATGATGATGATCCATTGGAAGACACATTCCGACGAAAGAAGAAAACAAACCCCCCAGGTCTTCTCCTCCGTTCGCGACCTGAATCCCCTGGTCCGACCCCCGTGATCTTCCGGGCCAGGCGACATGTGAAAGGTCAAAAGGTCTGCGCTGCTGGGCGAATGGAGGGACGGGTGCAAGAAGGGAAGTTCCAACGGGTTGCCTCGGCTCTCGTGGCCGGGCAACACCCAACACCCCCGAAAAGACGAGCAGCGGAAAGATGCAGTGAAACGTCGGAACGAAGCTGGACAGAAAACAAGAGCAAAGGGGGTTGTGATCAGAACCCCAATTCTCACACCTTGCCAAGCTGAAAGGCTGAAATCGATCAGTTTTGCAGATCAGTCTCCATCAGCAAACAAATTAAGGAGCTGAAACTTTGGGGAACAAGCTTGGCATGCGCGGTGATCTCGATACTTCAAAGCAAACAATCTGAGGTCCCTGCTGGGCATTGGCGATGGCGCTGGTGTTGATGGCTCTGGTGTGGGTTGTGTGGGCGTGGGCGTGGGTGTCGGCGTGGGAGCTGGCGTTGGTGCTGGTGTTGGAGCTGGTGTTGGGCTAGGCGCTGGGGCCCCCACAACATCACACGTCCATGGGGTTCGGAATTGAGGTGGATCATTCCAATGCACACCTGGTGTGCAGGAATCCAAACATTCTCCATAGAAGTTGTTCTTCTTGAAGCATTGATGGTTTGGATTGCAACAGTTGGGCTTCTCCAGGCAACCACCTCCTCTCAACTGGCCACTTGGAGAGCATTGACCTGGAGGCGGGCTTGGTGGAACTGGCGGAACAGGAATCGGCTGCGGGAGGGGCGCGGGCGCGGGCGGCTCGGGGTCCCCGACCCGGCGGCAACTCCACCAGGTTCGATATTGTGGAGGCTCCGTCCAATGGATGCCTGGCACACAGACATCGAGGCAGGCGCCGTAGCCGTTGTTCTTCTCGAAGCAGCTGTGTGCCGAGTTGCAGCACGTGGGGTTTTGCATGCAGTTCTGACTCCAGGAGGCCGTACAGGACGGCGGAGGAGGCGGGGTTGGGGCTGGAGGAGGGGGGGATGGAGTTGGAGATCCGGACAAAACTCGGCAAGACCAGGGGGAGCGGTGCTGGGGCGGGTCCTCTGGATGGATTCCAGGGGTACAGCTCCTCAGGCAGGCCGCGTACCTCGACATGAACACTTTCTAGAACGGCTTGCAGCGGCTTGCTGCTTGCTATAGTTGCTGCTAGTCACTCTGACACTCCCATTTTGGGAGAATAAAATAGAATGATATAGAATCTTTTCTTCTGAACGGAAGCTTCAAGAACAATACAGTTCAGTAGTACAGATTGGTTTTCCAACCTCATTCTCAAATGAATGCTCTCACTTGCCCAGCGAAAAACACCAAAAAGAATAGCCAAACCGCCTGCCGTTCTTCTCGTAGCATTGGAAACCACCCTCACAGCATCTCCGGGTCCCTCGACAATCATGTCGCCAGGACGCGGAGCATTGCCCCGGGTTCCACGGGTTCCAGGGGCTGGGGCTGGGCGGGCTGGGTGCGGGCGGCTGCCAGGGATTGATCTCTTGGCAGGACCAGGGGCGGCGATATTGCGGTGGATCGGTCCAGTGGATGCCAGGGGTACAATACGGAAGGCAGGCACCGTACTCGTTATCCCTCTGATAGCACCTGGAAAGAGGGAGTTCGTCCAAGTTTGTCCAAGTAACATGTTTTTTTCCCGAAAGACTTGGTCGAAAGGCTCTTCCTAAAGGCACATGGTCTGTCTAGCTGAGGCTTTAGCGCTTGTAAAAGTCTAGCACCTGCAAAAATTTGATCAAATTTTAGCACTTGGTCTGTCTAGCTGAGGCTGTAGCACTTGTAAGAGTCCAGCATCTGTCTAGTTCAGGCTTTGGCACTGGTACGGGTCTAGCACTTGCAAAGGTTTGATCAAGCTTTAGCATTTGGTCTGTCTAGCTGAGGCTGTAGCACTTGCAAGAGTCTAGCACTTGCAAGAGATTTGATCAAGTTTTAGCACGTGGTCGGTCTAGCTCAGGCTTTAGCACTTGTAAGAGTCTTTGCATTTGCAAGAGACTTGACCAAGTTTTGCACTTGCAATGAGACTTCACCAAATTTGGGCATTTGCAAGAGACTTGACCAAGTTTTTGCCTTTGCAAGAGACTTGACCAAGTGTTTAGCACTTGCAAGAGACTTGACCAAGCTTAGTCTCGACATCTCGAATCTTAATTACTTCCAGGAGACTTGACCAAGTTTTAGCCATTTTAGCAATTGCGAGAGACTGGGCTAAGTTTGACCAAGTTTTAGCACTTGCGAGAGACTTGACCAAGCTTTAGCACTTGCAAGAGACTTGACCAAGTATTGCCTTGACATCTCGCTCTTTCAATTATCTTTAAAGCCGGGGCGGACCAAGCCTGTCGAGTGCCCGAACGTGTAGTGAAATGCGAGTTCTCTTGGTTATCTGCGAACCCTCTCGCAGGATCCGGCCTGTCAAGTGCCCAAACGTGTAGCGAACTGCGAATCACGGGTGCTGGATGAACCCTCTCGCAGGATTCGGCCTGTCGAACGCCTGAACGTGTAGCGAAATGCAGATTTGACCGGGACCCTCTCGCAGGATCCCAAATTTGACCAGCCTCTCGAGTCCACAAACGTGAAGCGAATTTGACGGGTGCCGGATGAACCCTCTCGCAGGATCCGGCCTGTCAAGTCCCCAAACGTCTAGCGAAATGCAAATTTGACCGGTGCTCAGGCAACCCTCTCGCAGGTGGCCTCAGAACTAGCAAGCTTTTGGTACAAATGTATGCTCCCCACAATCCGGCGTGCTTGCGCGACCCTCTCGTAGGATCGGGCTCGTGAGATCACAGCTGGCAAGCTTATAGTACAAATGTAGTACGGGAAGCAGCTTCTGTGTGAGGTGGCCTCAGACGTGGTCTCCGCAGGATCTGGCGTGACCAAGTTTTAGCATTTGCAAGAGACTTGACGAAGTTTTGTCTTGACATCTCAAAATTGTCTTATCTACTTGCAAGAGACTTGGCCAAGTTTTAGCATTTGCAAGAGACTTGACCAAGTTTT